CTCTCTCCCCCATTCATACTCTCTCTTTCTCTCATCATATTTTTTAAAGAAAAATTACTATACCATAACAAGATTAATAGGTAACATTTAGCCCAGTACTAAACCAAGTGCTTTACAAACATAATCTTGTTTAACACATCATATCTTGTTTTACCAACATCCCTTTCAGGTGAGTGTTCTTATAATCTACATTTGCAGATGATGGCACTGGGGCCTGGAAAGAGTAACAAGAAAGTGGTTTATATCTATGGCTTTGAATCTCAGCTCTGCCAAATATTAACTAGGTGAACTCACAAAAGTTATTTTACCTCCCAGTGTCTCTTGTGGTCATTGGTCATCTTGGGGATAAACTTTGATGGTCAAGGCAACCAATATAAATGACATATTGTAAAACATGGCGTAATGTTTCTAGCCCAGGTATTTAAGTTATTTAGACCTGGTTTCAAGTGTTATTTGGGGCTTTTTCTAACATCCCACTGCTGGCAATTCTTCCTCCTACTGTTTCTCTCATCCTGGCCCTAGTCTCCATTCCCACAACTATCTTGTACTTTAGACTACATTCCTTTGTTGTGAACTAGTACATCAGCTTCGTAAAGTATCTCCCAGTCTTAGGATTCTTTTCTAATTTGGCTTCCAAGCTAATGATGGAAATATGGTTCTCCACTGCCTGAAGGAAAATAAAAGCAATTTCTTAGCAAAGCATACCTGATCCTTCACAATCTTTCCTGAGCCTACTCCTCTAGCCTTAGTGCTCAACTCGTGGCCTTCTTGCCCGTGCCCCAAACCCTTCGTTATGAAGCTTGTAAACACAGTGTTCCATCTATCTTGAAATCTTCCTGGGTCTACGCCATTTTTGTCTGACCGGGACCTTCTTACGCATCCTTCAAGGATCATCTCAAATTCATCTTCTCTCTGAAACTTCCCGGTTGTGCTTATTCCCTGTCCCCACACCCCAAACACATAATTCACAGTTGGCCACAAGTTTTAATATTTGACTCCTTGACAGGTTGTTTATTCATTTTTTTGCTTCTATCTCCTGGCACTTAGAAGGAACTTAAAAATGATAATAAAAAGTAATTCGACTATAACTTAACTAGTGAGAAATGACACCTATGAATAGGTGAATTATTGTAAATTGTCTTTCCCTATATCTTTCATACTACTAATAAATATATCTGCTATTGGACCATTAATTAACTAATCAGGAAATGAGCCAAAGAAATGCCACACCAGGACCTTATTTGATTAAGTTAAAAACAAGTTTGTTGTCTATAGCAAAATAATAATACATAGTTCTTCTACACTACAAATATTTAAATAAGAACTGCACTAACTAGTTGTGTATCTTTGTGTTATCACGTCTTTATTTTCATTGATGTTGTTTCCAGTATGTGGAGCTTGTGACTGGAAAGATCAGCACATGACCATCCCTCCCCTCTTCTCATTCCGCGCAAACATGGCTACAGACTTCCTTGACTTGTTCCTTAGACACCCTGTTTGTTGCGTTCTAACTCTTTAACATGAACTGTTTGCTATGGTCTGAAAGTTTGTATTCCCCCAAAGTCACATGTTGCAATCCTTACACCCAATGTGATGGTCCTAGAAAATGGGACGTTTAAGGGGTGATTAGATCATGAGGGTTGATCCATCATGCATGGAGTTAGTGCTTTTATGAAAGAGATCCCACAGAGCTCCTCAGCCCCTTTCCCCACAGGAAGATACCAGAAGAAGTTTGAAACCTGGAAGTGGGCTTTCACCCACACTTGCTGGCACCCTGATCTCAGACTTCCAGCCTCCAAAACTGAGACATAAATTTCTGTTGTGGATAAGCCACCCAGTCTGTGGCATTCTGTTAGAGCAGCCCAAATGGACTAAAACACTGCTGTTGAAGTTACCATGAACAGCCTTCTTACCAACTTGGCTGACTTTGAGAGTACTGAATTCTTATCCTTTTTGACCTCTATCTCATACAACATTATTTTAGAAAATGCTTCCTCTATTGACTTCGATCAGATCATACTTTCATTATGTTCTCATTTTGTAAAAGTCTGCATTAAAAAATTGAAATTCCTAATGATGTCATTCTTTACTATCAAACCTCTGCTCACTTTGATCTGTAGTCAATCCCCTTCTCTTCCATTCATTTCTACGACATCAGCTCCTATGCTATTTACCTTCACTCCATTTCCAGTGCTTAGCCACAAGCATATCTTCTTCTAAATCAAACTCATTTATTAAAAATGAAATTTATAATTTTCCCCCAATTTTTCTATTGCCAGTGATTATCATTATTCTTTTAATTTCCCATCCTACAGGAATCATTCTGATTATCTCTGATTCTTTCTTTTTCATGGTAAGGCATACTGAAACTGTATCCAAACACTCCATTTCTCCCTGTAGTGATCTTTTACAATGCCCTTTCCTAATTGCTTCTTATTTTTTTTTTTGGCTCTTTTCACCCTAATTCAATTCTTTCCTTCATCTTGGGCACATAGTTGAGTCCATCTATAGCTGAGACCTAAGTATGTGCCAATGGAATATGAGCAGAAGAGAAGTGTACAACTTGCTTAAAAGATGCTTGCCCAACTTTGCTCATCCTCCTTTACTTTCTTTTTTTTTTTCCCTAAGTTTAATTAATTATTTATTTTTTTAAGAGAGAGACAGCATGAGCAGGGAGGGGCAGAGAGAGAAAGAGAGGGAAACAGAGGATCCAAGGCAGGCTCTGCGCAGACAGCAGAGAGCCAACATGGGGCTCGAACCCGTGAACCGTTAAGATTATAACCTGATCTAAAGACAGACTCTTAACTGACTGAGCCACCCAGGCGCCCCACCCTCTTTCCTTTCTGCTGGCTATAAAGCATGACCACATGAGCACATTTGAGAGCCAGATGTGGAATAGGCTGGAGCAGCCCCAAGTCCCTAAGATGATTTCCTGGAAGAGAACCAGTTGCCCACCTTGGACTGAAAGAGAAATAAGCTTCAGTTTATTTTTGTATGTGGATCTTTCGAAAAAGCATTTTAGCCCCAATTCTAACTTGCTAATTATTACCAAATCAGTGGTCAAATCTTTGTCTTTCAATACTTCACACCCAGAATTACTGCAATGTTCTTGTTTATTAGTCTACTTTCTCTTTCTCATTCACAGACGACAAGGACTTTGGCCCTGAGAACTTGTTTAGGCTGTAGGAGAGGATCACAACTTTGTCATAGGCTGATGTAAATAGAATTGAAGCCAAAATCAAATATCTACAACATCTTAGGGAGAAACTGAAATAAAAACCAGTTAGTCTTTCCAACTGATTCTTCTATCCAAACAGGCCAGACAGTGAAGGCATGTAAGAATAAGAATGGAGGACAGAAACTGGAGAAACTAAATGGAATTAGGAGACTTCAAAGAAAAGGATAGAAGACAAAACCTGGAGAGACTCCTTCAGCTGGGAAGGAGCACTGTGGAGTTTCAGGGAGGAATGGGGCGTCAATGAAAGTAGGGAGGAGACTGTAACCTACACATCTCTTATTTCTCCACTTTTCAGGGCATCCTTCAATTCAACAAACAGATCTTCACAAACAGAGACAAGTAGCTTCAAATTAGTCTTATTAAATCTGCTTTCATCATCTTAATTATACACTGCATGTACTAAAACACTTCAAACTATGGTACTAGGCAGAATTAAAACAACGAAGGAAAAGAGAAAACTCAGAAACATGCCCAAGAAAATTTATAACATTTCATATCTAATAAAGCACCAAAATCCAATGGTCTAAGAGTTGACTTCCCATAAAGGTTTTAGGAAATTAATTAAAGATTTTTTTAGATTTTTTTTAAGTTTATTTATTTGGAGGGAGAGAGAGAGAGAGAGATTGAGAGAGAGAAAGAGAGAGAGAGAGAGAGAGAGAGAGAATCCCAAGCAGGCTCCACACTGCCAGCACAGAGTCCAATGTAAGGCTCAATCTCGAGAACTGTGAGATCACAATCTGAGCTGGAACCAAGAGTCGGACACCCAACCAGAGCCACCCAGAGATTGAGTCACATGCTCTACTGACTTAGCCAACCAGGCACCTCTAAATAAATAACTTTTATTTAGTTTTTTTTTTTTAAATTTAATGTTTTTATTTATTTCTGAGAGAGAGACAGCGTGAGGTGGGGAGGGTCAGAGAGAGAGGGAGACACAGAATCTGAAGCAGGCTGCAGACTCTGAGCTGGCAGTCAGCACAGAGCCCGACGCGAGGCTCGAACCCACGAACCGTGAGATCATGAACTGAGCTGAAGTCAGACACCCAACCGACTGAGCCACTCAGGCACCCCCAAATAACTTTTAATTAACACAGCCTTAAGTTGGCTTGTTTCCTTCCATTGTACACTAAACTAAATTACGCACTAATTCAATAATTAATTCATCTACTTATTTATTCATTCAACAGATATCTATTGAGTAGCACTATGTGCTAGACTCTGGGAATATAATACTACACAAGACCTACTCTCTCCACTAAAAGACATCAGAGTCTATGTGAGAAGAAAAGACAAATAAAGGAGAAAATAGAGTGGCAACAAATTGAGGCTAGGCAAAGGCTTCCAAGATGAGAGCCCTCACAGGAGTTGACATTATTCTGGAAAAGAAGAGGGAAAAGCAGTGAAGGAAAGCTTCCCAGCAAAGAAGGTGTGTTAAGATAAAAAACAAAATAAAATATTTTACTTTCTGAAGACTGCAAGAAGTGTAGTAAGGTGACTAATGGTTGAACTCTTGGCATGTAATACAAGTGCCAATTTGTTATACAAGTTCTTGTTCTCAACTACCTGGTTCAGATAGAAAAGACAGGCCCCATTTCAAGATATCTTCAGCTTCTCCCTATATTCTGAAGGGTGGAATCTTACATTGACAACTGATACAAGAAGAAAAATGTGCAAATGAATGCACATTAAAGTTGTTACTGTGGTGACATAATACTAAAAGTTGTGGTTATCTTTTCAGAAACACCAACATCTGGAGAGAAAAAGAATGTTAAGAAAGAACAAAATGTTAATTTTTAAATATTTTCTTAATATCATTAATGGAGCTTTCTTGGTAAGACTCTTTTATAATTATTTAGTAAAGAAAATGTAATGCATTTTTATTGGCACTCACTAAAAATACAATTATTGACTGTCTTTTCTTTAGGTTCTTGGTCTTTTACTCATGGGATTTGGTGCATGGCTTTTATTAGATAGAAATATTTTTTTCACAGCTTTGGGTATGTATCCATTTTTCTTTGGCTCTCTGAACTCAGGCATTCCATTTTAAATAATCGCATACATGATTTTTTCAGCAGGTGGCAGTATTTCTCTAAAATACCTTGAGTATTGGGCAATTTTTTTCCCCCTCTGAAGCTCTTTGCCAATTGGTTTTATAAACACCTTTCAATAATAGGACTTAAAACCAAGATAATAAAGGAGGATAAATCTGGTGAGAGAGAACTAGGAACTTTGGCTGGACAAGAGATATGAGAGAAATGGAAAACTGGATTGTTCTAATAAACTCTGGATGAAAAGATAATGGAGATCAACATATTTGATAGTGCCCAAGTTAAATAATTTCTTTTAAAACTCAATTATCATCTACTCTCACCATCATATGGTTACAAATAAAATATAATGTTATGCAAATATGAATAAAATAAGTGAATGCAGTTAACTTGATTTTTAAAAAAATATTTTGCCATTTTGTGCTATGCTGTGGTCACTATGGGCTGAAGTTTAACAGGCTAAGGGTTATTTTTATATACATATCCTTGGTGGGAGGGAAGGAAGCCACATTTCAAGTGCTCAATAGCCAGATGTGGCTATTGGATATGGCGGCCTTATTAGACAGTGCAGATGTAGATTATATTCATTATCTCAGTAAGTTCTGCTAAACAGCACTGTTAATCCTTTAAAAATATGACAAAAAGCATGCCAACATCTTTCTTAGTGGATTTGAAGTAAGATAAAATATGTTTGTAGGAAAATTAAAGCTAAATTAAAAAGTTTAATAGGTAATAAAGTGCTACAGAGTATTGAATAATTTAAATGTCAGCTACACCTAAGTGCCTAGTATCTTTATTCACTTCCATCTGTATACTTTGCTTATAGAAAAGTATTCATGATGTCTGAGTGCATTAGTGGTTTGCTCAGAGCAAATGGGTGCGTGGAGACTTTCCAACAACCATTCTGTCTTTCTTTCCTTCCCCAGAAGAGAGACAGTAATAACTTCCACTTATTTAGTGTTGACTATAGGCCAGACACTGGGCTAAGCACTTCCCATGCAGTATCTAATTTGATAAGGTACCAGTTACTGTGGAGCTAAAGTCATTTTCTTTTTGGTTTCCCTCCATTATGGAATTGAAAGATAATTCTCTTAAAAATTACATACTTGAAAGTGTATTTAGTGAAATCTCAGTTAAGGTTTCAAGACATGGAACTGAAAATAACAAGTTTGTGGCAAGAAACTGGTTGGGTCCTCCCCTCCCTTTTATCTGCAACTTGAAATTCACTTACCCCTTTTTAAAAATCATTCTGCCTTCACCTCTTCATTTGTAAGAACACTGTACTACCTGAGGTCTCCATCTTCCCTCTGCCATAGCAATAGCATCCAATAGCCTTGTGTTCTGATCTCCTTTCTCAAACACCTTCCAAATGCCACTGAAATAATTTAAGGTGAAAATATCCATGCAACATTAAAAGCTTTTCCCTGGCTCCCCACTGCTCATATTCATTCATATGACAAGTATTTACAGAGTATCTTCTACATGTTAGGCATGAATCTGTAAGCTGAGAATGCAGTACTGTACAAGAAAGATAAATATTTTGTTCTCATGGAGTTTAATTCCAGTGAGAAAGACTGGATAAGAGCACACAAAGTGTGCATAATTTGGCCCCTGAAAACCTGCCCAATTTCACCTGCTTCAAATCCTAAGTGCCAGCAAAGCTGAATTTCCTACACAGACTGCTGTTCTATCATTCCAACCTAGATATATTCAGTTAGCACTTAAAGCCCATGCTCAGTGTTGCCTTCTCCAGAGACCTTGCCTACCTACACTCTCCAACCTCCTCCCTCTCCTGGATTAGATGCTCTTGTACCCAGCGGTGTGCTGGTAAATGTTTAACAACTGGTTCTGGAGAGAAAGTTTTGATTTATGGTATTTACTGATTTCTGTGGTTTAAGATACATAATGCCATGATGGCTGATTTCACAGTGCCAGCATGAACAGAGATGGCTTACAAATTTTGTGAAAATGTAACAGTTGGCGTTTATGAGCCAGAACGAACTGGCTCTAGCACATCACTGCCTTCACTGTTCTCCCAGAAAACCTAGGGCATATTTAATTTATTTTTTCTTCTTCTTTTTTTATTTTTTAACAAGTATTTGGTAAACACTCAGTGTTCTACAGTCCATGTCATAACAGTAAGCATTTAACAGTTAGTCTGTTGACGGTATAAATATATATAGTCTCTAGCACAGAGAGCTCAGTCTAGGTGGAGAGAGAATAAAATATGGTTTCAATGCAGTCCAATTACCAATAAACTCAGTTTCATATAAAAAATGAACCCACACATATTAGATACTCAAATAAGTTCAGAAGTGTTTGGATATACATTAAACATAAAAGAATGTTACCTTATGGGAAAAAAATTATTCTTTCATAGAAGACAAGATAAAGGTAGAGAGATTTTTTGAGATTGAAGAATTTTTTTTCATCATGTCATTAGTGGAAGAGAAGTTGTCGCCAAGACTAAATAAGAGGTGCCAGAATGAAGCTAAAAAGGGAGAGAGAGAGAGAGAGAATCCTACGGGTTTGGCAGCAACTGCTTAGAGAAATCTTGGGTTACTGCATATATGGTTAAGTAGAATATAAATACCACCTAATAATCATTTATTTTGTGATTTCCACAGATGAAAATAATCATCTGATAGCATATATTTTTCAAATTTTGATTGGAACTGGATCTGCTATTGTTCTTCTTTGTCTCTTGGGTTATTTGGGAATTCACAGTGAAATCAGATGGCTCCTAATCCTGGTATGTATTTCATTTTAACAGCCTGAATTAATCTCTATCTTCAATGTGGAGTGTCCAGATCACAAAATGAGCAATAATGATTTACATCAGCATAACATCTCAGTATAGTGTTCCCCAGGGAATAAGGTAAATGAAGCACCCCCTCTCAAGAAACTTTTCTAGATAGAATGTTCTTCCATGGATCTGGACCTCTGCATCCTTAGATATAACTTTTTGAAACACAGTCAGTAGGAATCCATCTCCTGGGGTGAACTACAATTAGCCAAAGTTAAGAATCTGAAGACTAAAATCCAAATAAACTGTTAAAGTCTATGAGCAGTGTAGCTTAGCAAGATGAAAGAATCCATGCCCTGCAGTTGGCCCATTTTCTCCCTGTGGGACTGTCATGTAGGAAGCTAACTTATAACTGAGATCACAATTTATCATTTAACAAAGGGAAATAGAACTGCTGAGAGGGCCAGACTCTGGCACCTGGCTGGCACACTATGTCTCCCTGGCCATGTCACATGGAAAGATAAATTATAATTAGGAATATAGACCTGAACATGAGCCATTTACCATCCATGTGGCAGCTAAGGATCACAATTCACAGGCTCAAATGAAATAGAAACTTTTACCATTTTCCTTAAATCAAATCAGTTTCAATTCACGGGAGCTCTCTTGCCAAACAAGAGGAGCTCTGCCTTGGCCATCTTAGGCCATTCAAACAGCAGGAGTAGACCCCGAGGGATCATGTGAGCTGGGAAAATGAGAGCTTTCATGGTAGCCAGTGTAGATTGATAACCAGTGTCCAGAGTGACCACCCAGACTGTGAGGGCTACATAAAAGCTAAGTATTTCTGCATTCTTCCTGGTAAGAGACACAATGGCTGCAGCTGAATATTGTATTTGTTTGTTTCCCTCCCTCTAGACTCCCCCTTCTTTTGTTTTGTCAAACATAAGTATCACCCTTATGGGATTCTGATATTAATGGCTTATGACTGAGAAAGCCTGATAGACCCCATCATAAGGAATGTGCAAAATACTAGGTCCTGAAGCCAAGACACCACTTTCTTGTCTGGATGACCCAGGGAAGGGCACTGCTACTATTTGCAATCATGCTACATTTACTATTTTTCTCCAAATATACCTATACTTTTCTGATGGATACATTTTTCCTTTTACTGTGTTAATTCACTCAATCAAGTTATGAGCAGATTTTACACACCTAATTACTATTCTTTGGCTTAACAGTGATTTTGCCTACCTCTATTCCAATCAAATAAATATTAGTTTCACAATTTATCTCTTAGGGGCAATTTTACTTCCCTATTTTACAAGTTCTTGGGAAGTCTCTCACTGCACTCTCTAAGTGCTAAAACAAATGAATACACTGAAGTTTTCTTTTACTATATATACCTAACTACTATTAAAAGGGAATTTTCAAAGGTAAAAATCATGACTCACGTATGTGTCAATGAACATGTGTAAGAGACCTTATTAATTAAAATCAGTAGGGGAATTGGTAAGAAGTAACAACTAATTGAATGAGAATGAGATTTTGGAGATTTATCTTCTATATAGACTGTATTCATTTGCATTTCCATGAATAGGAATCATTCGCATTGCCATGGACTAGGAACTTTTATATTACTACCAGAATTCTGTAAGTTTTCTCCATACAGAGCTGAATAATAGTTTAGTCAAAGGTAATATTGCATATGCCCATAGGATCAGAAAATTGGGAAGGTCCACTGGACTATAACCAGCTTGCCATTAAAAAGAAACCCAGTAATTTTTTGTTGTTTTACATTAAAATATTGTCTTACAATATTTTACAATAAAATATTGTTTTACAATTTTTCCTGTCTCTACAAATATCCTTTTAGTGAAGATTGAGTCAATGTATGTAGAAGTATTAGAAATCTAAACTTCTAAATGGATCTAAAGACCCTATTTTTCTTTGAAACATTTCTCTCTAAAATAAGAAATGTAATTTATATCAAATAAACAAATTTTAACTATTTTAAAGTATTAATGTTTAAAATATGTGAAACTAACAGTGAATCACTCTTATGTTTTAGTAAAATATTCAGACTGCTAATTTTTAAAAATCATTATGAATTCTAGATAATATGGACTACTATGTGCTGCTGTCATGAAGAAGATTGCAGTGGCCATAAGTTTAAAAAATATAGTTAAATAAGTGTGCAAATAATTTCATTCGGCCTTGGATAGAAGTATTTTCAGTTTTCAAAGGAATAGTTTAAATGTACATACACAGTTAATTTAATTATAGCAGTTGCTTTTGTTATTTTCTGGGGTTTTTTTTTGTTGTTGTTACTTTATACATGATGGATTTGCCTAATAGGTGACAATTCAGTGACTTTTCTAGTGTTAGTGGCATGGTGTGTTAAGCAGAAGTCCAGCTAAGTGGATTCCCCTCTAGGACAGTTTTAGATCCAAATGAAGGAAGATCATCAACAATTTCATTAGACCAAGTGGTCTGTTAGGGTGCTCACTGAATACCGTCACTTCTGTCTTACTCTTATCCAATTGTTCACTGATTATTTTTCTTTGCCTTTTTGTTTGAATAACTTCACTCCTGTATATGAGGCCAAGAAACCAGCAATACTTGTCTGTATTTTAAAAGAGGATATTTCATATAATGTGCACTTTCCCATCATTGTAATATCTAAGGTACATATTAGAAGCACAGTTACTATCTCTATTTCTCTTTTGTTTTAGTATGCAGTACTGTTAATGTGGGCCTTTGGTGTTCAGGTTGTACTTTCAGCATTCATCTTCACAAAGAAAAAAGAGGTATGGAATGATCATCCTATTATTTGAAATTTAAAGAAAATTGGATACCTTAAATTATTAAGACCTATGAGTCTATATTAAGAGCAAAAGATAAATGTCTTTGTGAGGAAAAACATTCAATGGATGTATTACAGAATTCTATATATGGTCAGATCAAAATGGTGGGCTAAAGAAATTTGTCTTTAACTCAGCAGGTGGTTGACAGTATTGTAAATGACAAAGAACATGGAGGAAGAGAAGGTGATACTGAGTGTAGGGAATCCAAAATTGGTGTCCCAGACAACCCTGGCTCCCATGATTGACCAATTCTATTTTTCTATATAGGCTGACTATATTCTATTTTTGTAAAGAAATATCTTTAGACTTGTATGAATTTGAAATTTAGTTATTTTATTTAAATGAAATGAACTAAACAATTTAAATATTTGGTACAGACATGGTCATGACTCATATAATTAATCACAACAAGATTTATATTTGTCAAATAAACTTTAAAAAATCACTTAGTAAATTGCCTGAAAAAACGTTTTGGTAACAAAACTTAACTATTAAGGTCAATAGTTACCTGACATTTTAAGGAACTTTAATTGTTTCAGAGTGCCTGTGTGGCTCAGTTGGGTAGGCATCCAACTTTCGCTCAGGTCATGATGTCATGGTTCTTGAGTTTGAGCCCCCCATTGGGATCTACGCTGACAGTGCAGAGCCTGTTTGGGATTCTCTCTCTTTCCCTCTCTCTCTGCCCCTCACCACTTTCTCTCCTGCTTAAAATAAATATATAAACTTATGGGGCACCTGGGTGGCTCAGTTGGTTAAGCGTCCGACTTTGGCTCAGGTCATGATCTCACTGTTTGTGGTTTTGAGCCCTGCGTCAGGCTCTGTGCTGACAGCAAGCTCAGAGCCTGGAGCCTGCTTTGGATTCTGTATCTCCCTCTCTCTCTGACCTATCCCTGCTCACACTGCCTCTCTCTCTCTCTCTCTCTCTCTCTCTCTCTCTCAGGAAGAAATAAAACATTAAAAAAAATTTTAAATAAAAAAATAAATAAATATATAAGCTTAAAAAATCAAAAAAAGGAAAAGAAATGTCATTGTTTCAGTGCAGTCATGCTCTGTCTCTGTATTACGGGAGATTTTCCTATAGGGAAAGAGCATGGATTTGAAGTCATACAGGCCTGCCGATAACTGGAGGTCCACAAGCTACTTAACAGTCCTAAGTCTATGTCTTCATCTGTACAGTATGGTTAATACCTACCTCCCTTAGAGAGTTACCACTAACTGACAACTTTGAAAGTTTCTGTCACTGAGTAGCCACTTAAAGCTCCCTTTCTGGGGCACCTGGGTGGCTTAGTCAGTTAAGCATCCAACTTCAGCTCAGGTCATGATCTCCTAGGTCATGGTTTTGAGTCCCGGATTGGGCTCTGTGCTGACAGCTTTGAGCCTGGAGCCTTTAGACTCTCTCTCTCTCTCTCTCTCTCTCTCTCTCTCTCTCTCTCTCTCTCTCTCCCCTCCCCTCTCTTTCACTCTCTCCCTCTCCCTCTCTCCCTCCGCCCCACACACTCTGTCTCTCTCAAAAATGAATAAAAAGAAACTTTAAAGAATTTTAAACATTTTTTAAAAAGTCTCCCTTTCTTTCCTTAATTAATTTCAAAGGAATCCCTAATCAATTCCTGTACTTCCTAGCCTTCAAAAATCTCTCTATATGTAGAGTCCTAGGCAATGACCAAACCTCATTCCTATAGAACACCACTGCCCTCCGACTTCATTTGCTATCGTGTGCTTGGCTTCTATCCTGGATATTAGCCACCCAGGACTTATTGTTCATGGCCTGGCATTTAGAGCTAAAATTTCTTCTCATGCACACACACACACACACACACACACACACACAGCACGTGAGTTCTGTAAAACTGATATGGTGGCAAAGCAGCGCATCCCAATCAATCAGCCTATAACTTTCGGATCTGGAGATAGAACTCGAATATAACACTTCAGTATCCTTAATACCTCAATTTAGTTTATCAGTGTTGTTCATGCTCTCTTAAGTATTATTCACATATTAATCTCTACTTAGTTTAAGAATAAAAATGACCACCTGAAAATAATTACTGAGTGCTAGAGACTGTGATAAGCACTCTATAGGCATTAGGGTTTTTATCCTCACAACAACTCCTAGAGATGCATTGTTCGTCCTACTTTCTAGAACAGGAAACTGAGACTTTGAGAAAAGAAATATTTGCTAAAATGCATCATGGCCAAATGACAGAGTCTCAACTCAATCACTTATTAACTGAATATAGAGCTAACAACTGTGTTTACCTCAATTTTCCTTCTATTCATACTAGATTAAGCTCCTAGGAGCCTCTAAATCTTTTATGCCACTTACGGCACCCAACAGTGTTGGAGGTGCACCAGGACTGCAAAGGATCCTTGTCAAAATAAATATGTGTGAGGGAATTTTATTTATAGAGAAGTCATGGAGATTGGATAGGATATGCTTGTGTACTAAGATGTGATTTAGATGCACTCTGGATCTCCCAAATAATTCTTTGGAGAGTAAATAAGGACATAAGTCTGACCCTTCCCCACAACAATATAAAATGAAAAACATTTTCTGGTCTAAATAAAAATTAAGGGGCCTGGGTAGCTCAGTTGGGTAAGCATTCAATTCTTGGTTTCAGCTGAGGCTATGATCTCACTGTTTTTGAGTTCAGCCGCAGGTAGGGCACCACATTGGCAGCATGGGGCCTGCTTGGGATTCTCTCTCTCTCTCTCTCTCTCTCTCTCTCTCTCTCACACACACACAATAAAAACTTTTTTTAAAAAAAAGCACATTAAAAAAATAAAAATTAACTTAGAGAATAAATTAACTAACTTACAGATCTAAATAACACTACATCATTCTAATCTTCCTAAATGCATTAAAGCATAGATATATAAGTGACTGCATAAGAGTTTAACTTGTACACATGGTTTAATTGTTGTAGTATTCCCACCAGTTAATTAGCTTTCATTGTTCAGACAGCATAATACAGTGAGAAATCACGAAACTAGAATTCAAATGAACCATATTTAAAAGTCTCAGCTCCTCATCCTTATTCATGTAAACAGAGAAAATAAAATCTTTATCTGTCTTCTTGTTCATAAAACAGAGTAGTATCTGTTCTTTCCACCTCTTAACTTAGTTATGAAAGTCACATAATCTGTAGGTTACAATTAAAATTTACCTCTGTAATATCTAGATTTTGCAATAGCACTTTCACCCGATTCTTTCAAATCTGATTGTTTCTATTACGGCATTGTTAAAGGACAATTTTTTTAATTAAAATCATAATTCTTGTATAAAAATACAAGACGTGTAGGCACAGGTCAATGATTTTATTTAACATCTTGATTAATGCGGGAATCAGTAAAAAATGAAAACCAGTTCATAGCAGAGTCCAAAGAGAACTTATAAAGACTATATCTTAATATATAAAAAACATGGTTGGTAGGGGAGATAATCAGTTGCCCCCCAAAAGGAAAAATTCATCTGTATTTCTCTGACAAAGAATTAGTTGTCTATAGTTTCCTACAACTTACAAAGTTGTTAAATACATTAAAAATTGAGAAAGATACAGACTCCCATGAAATAAGACGACCCTGAGTTATGCTAAAGAAAGCCTAATTTCCACTGAAAAGATACTCAGTAATCTTTTCTGGACCATTTCAAATTTTTCACAATTTTCCCTGAGAGTACAAGAAGAAAAGTGGAATCCTTAAACATTCAGGAGAATAGCACATAACTTTCTCTTTCTTCATAAAATAAGTCTCATCTATTTTCCTGTAGGTCACAATGCAGAAGACCAAATGCTTCAGCACTCACTGAGATTGCTAAAAAAAAAAAAAAAAAAAAAAAAAAAAAAAAAAAAAAAAAAAAAAAAAAAAAAAAAAAAAAAAAAAAAAAAAAAAAAAAAAAGGTTATAGAAACAGAAAACACAGGAATAAGCAGAGAACAGAAAAATGACTATAATACTCTTTTTTTTTAGGAACCATAAGGAAAGTTTCTTTCAGATTTTGACTTTTTTTACTTTCCAAGTTTTTATTTAAATTTCAGTTTGTTAAAATACAGTGTAATATTAGTTTCAGGCATAGAATTTAGTGATTATATAGACAATGAAATATTTCTCAGCCATAAAAACAATGAAATATTTCTATTTGCAGTGATGTGGATGGAGCTAGAGAGTATTATGCTAAGTAAAATCAGAGAAAGACAAAACCCATAGAATTTCAGATTTTGACTTTGACGTAATTTTCAACAGATTCATCAAGTAGTGCATGACAAAATTGACCTTATCATTACTGAGTATGGATCTAAAGATATGCCTGAAGATATACCCAAGTGGACTATTCTGAATGCTTTACAGAAAACAGTAAGAAAAAATTAGTATAAAACTAAAAATTCCTTATCAAACATGATCACCGAAGGGTAAGGGGGAGACAGGGAAGGGCAGGAGATGGGGCAGAGGAATGAGAGGAGTAGCATTGTTCTCATGTACAAATCTTGAGTTTTATGCTCTTTTTGTAACTTAGATCTCCTAGTCTTGGTCAACTGATGTGAATTTTAACATGGTCTCACCTGTAAAAGTGGTGGTGGGGTAATCTTCCCTGCTGTACTTGTAGGACAGAAGTCTGAGCACAGTCCTTGCTAGCAGCAGAGAAGCATGGTACTTACCACTTGAGCCTGAATGTCAGGTTTGCCACATATTAGCTTTTTGACCCTGGACAAGTAACTTTAGTAATTTCAGATTCTGAATTAATCAAATGGACAGAATAACCCTTACTTCTGGTTGGCAGTAATCAATGAAATAATATATAGAATGTATAGAAAGCCTTGGATCTAGAAAATAGTAAGCAACTAACACTTGTTAGCTAACATTATTAAGATTATTATTTTACACATCAAATATTTCTAGACAAGGTACAGGAATGAATATGGTTGCCCAGATGGTTTACAGGAATAGACGGCAGCTGGAACTTAGTAAAAGCTTGATAAAGAAAATAATTTTTGTATTTACTTTTTATAAGTGCTTTACATACATTAACTTATTTAATCCTCCAAACCCAATGAAGTAAGACCTATTGTCCTCATTTTATAGATGAAGGACAGTGAAATTGAGTAACTTACTTAGGGTCAGAGAGCTAATTAAGTTACAGAAACAAGACTCAATTCCAGACAATGTAGCACTACATTTTATACTCTTAACTACTATAAGTAGGTGCCCCACATAAAAATGGCTATTATTTTTAGTATATGTAATAACAGAAAGGCATTTTAGGAGAATTGAAATATAATTATAAATGCTTTTAGTCATCTTGTTTTTCCTCTGACGCATGTGATGTGTACATGTATTGCCTCTCTAGATTGCATTAGCTCTGATGGCAGAGAACCAAACCTTCCGATCATAAACGGATAAACAAGAAAAAAGTTATATGTATGACATCACTATTATTAATGAGAATCAAGCCTACAGTTCCTAGTCCTGAATATAATCAAGATAAGACATGTAGCTTTGACTAAATTCATTTTTATAGTAAAATTCATAGAATTCTTTTCTAGTTACAGTGTTGTGGCCAATACAATTACACAGATTGGATAAAGAATAAAAATAAAGAAAATTCAGATCAGGTGCCATGTTCTTGCACAAATTCTACATTAAGAAAGTGGTTTTGTGATGAGCCACTGAATGCAACTTACCTGGAGGTAAAGATAAGGCTTTCCAAGTGTTTACAGTGCCTTTTTTGTTTTGTTTTCTGAGTCATTTTATAATTCTGAACAAAGTTTTATATAAAAACAATGTTATTTACAGTGATGAAGTTCTTAAGCTACTTTATGAAACTGAACTCATAATTAGATGAATAGTGATTATTTCAGTTATTATTTCATCTTTCTGGGAGTATGTTATCTACACGCTCTTAGATCTTGAGATACCATCAATCTTTCTCCCCAATCCTCCTTCCTGAATCCCTGCAGAAAGGGGAGGCACTTTTGGCCAATCTCTGGTACATAGGATTGGTAAGGGTGCTCCAATACCGGAAGTAAGAAGTATGAGCATTGACAAAAACTGAAGTGAAGTGACCCCAGCAGTGACACAAATGTTCAGGTGAATGTAGCAGAAGCAAGAATAAGGTTTCATCTGCTACTTACGGGGATGGGATACTGACCAACACGTTTTCATTCCCAAGAACTTCTAATACTTTATATAGTTCACATGCTGATGTTATTCTAATTGTAAGATGAATTTTTCATTTACATAATTCATTCACAGATAAATAGAGCATTATGTTTTTTTAAAAAGCTTCTCCTATTTGGGAAATAATCATTTTCGTTGGTAGTATATACCTTGCTGAATTACAATAATTTGCAGAAAATTAGAGCCCTCTCTAAATTTAATAAATTCCTGATTTCAATTACATGACAACATCATAGCAACTTAAAAAGTAGTAACAGAGATGTTCTGCTATCAGAGGAAGTTCTCTGGACTAAAAAGTCTAGTCTCCACTTAGACATTGACTTTATAAACTTTGGTGAATTACTGCATTTATGTTTCTTCCGCTTTGTAATAGAATTGTACATAAGACCATTTTCATCTCCCAAGTCAATCTAAATAACTTTTTTTTCATTAGGGTTGTGAAAGTAAAATTAACACATGGTATAACTCTAATGCTCTAACATTAACTGGAATTAACTTTGGACTTTTGGCTTCAGAGGTAAGCTTTTGTTCACATGTTTAAAGGTAAAAAATAATTGAGTATAAACCATACATAATAAACTGCAGAAAAACCAGCTAGAGTCCTAATCAGACAAATTAATACAATAGGAGTCAGGACCTTGAGACTATTCACACCCAAGAGAGGTATGAAAGACTACCAAACAGTTTAGACTATAACACTGCAATGAATATATAATGCATGGTTTGTTCAAGTATAGGATACCACATTTAATTTTATGTTGATCCAAAAAGGCATTGACCTGAAGTTCCATAGATTTTCTCCAACTGGTAAGAGTTGAAGTAACTATAGTCTCAGAATGGTTATTAAATGGTTATTAAAACCTTTTTATATGCATTAATGGTGTTCTTTTTAAATATTTCTTCTCCATTGTGTTCATGCTGGGGTATTTAAGACAAGACTGAATGGGAGACAGTACCAGTGGTCCATTTTATCATCTTGTCTTTGCACACCATCTTTAATGATTCTATCCCAAAATGAAGCAGTTTTGTAGGACTGATGACATAGATGATGAACAAAAACCAGATCACAGTTCATCAAGACATCTAGCCCAATGATAGCCCATGTAATAAAAATAGAAGTCTATTTGTTAATCCCTCCATAAATGAATTTGGTGACAGCTAAATTACTCTAGAAGACTAGCTTTGCAGACTTCTTATTGGCAACCCTATATACCTTACTCCAAAAATTTCCCACTCTCTTTGATCCTTTTCCCTCTAAAGCATGCATTTAGGTGATTGTAACTGTCAACTTTGCAAATTACTCTTATCTATTACATTTTGATATCTTATCATTTCCTTTTCTTCTAGGTTTTGCAAATCTCATTAACTGTTTCTTTCTTCAAACACATGAAGAATAGAATATATGCAGAAATGTGATCTTTGAACTTTAATTTGCCCAGAAGAAAGCAGCTAATTCTCAAAATAACCACATTGTGTTCTCTTATTTCAAGAATTAAAAGTTTTGAATTACATTAATTAAGTTTAGGACTTATTCAAGTCATTGGTTTTATGTAACATAGAATTATTGAATATTATAAGAAATCACTCCATGAAATTCTCATTTTGTTTTTCAATATCAGATTCTGCAGTTCAGACATTACCTTGAACTATTTTCTGAATTCAGGATGTCATTATATCTACTGAATTCAAAATGTGAAGTATCTCTATATGTTTTGAGTTTCCTATATAGAAAAGATACCTATATGAGGTTCAGAAAATACTAATTAAGTAAGCAATTATAATATCTATTTTAAATTTGCAGATTTTAAGAAAACAATACTAATTTGTGGGAGATTTAAAAGAAAGATTGAAAATCTTCATGACACTGATCTCTGTACTGAATTAATCATTTATTACTGTCTTCTGATTAATGCTTGCAAATGGATAATAAAACTTTAGAGATTTGGGTATACTTTAGTGGCCATAGTAAAATATTAAAATCACAATTTTTAACTATAGCATAAATGTTCTAAATGATCACTGAATTCCCATACTCAATTTGCTCCTTATTTTCTTTTTCCTTAAATTTTGTTTGGGCATGCATGCACAATTCTCTGAAGGGTATAAAAATAGCCTACCTGTTCTATTTTCCTAAAAATGATACTGTGAAAACAGGAAAAATATCCTTTGACAAATAAAAAGTGCCATGCAAATGTGAGGCATAACCATATCATTGTTGTTCTTTATACCAAAAAGACCACCTTGACCTTGAGGAAATGAAGAAAAGATAAATTAACTGAAGATCCTGCATTGCTCTCACTCCTATAGAAGGCTCACTATAATTTACCAGTTCAATCATTTGTCTCTTCCCCCATCTGTTCAATACATTGCATATTTCAGAGACCTATGAACTGTTTACAAGACAGTGCAACAGAAAACAGAATCACCATTTTCTCTAAAGTAACCTGTAAATGCACATGCCTTTACTTCTGTAAGAAAGACTCTATAGGGGAATTTTTTAACTTTATTTTTTCAATGTTTTCACTTTTATTTTTTTGAATTCCAGTACAGTTTAACATACAGTGTTATATTAGTTTCTGTGTACAATATAGTGATTCAACAATTCTGTACATTACTTCTTGCTCATCAGGATAAATGCTGAGTCTTCTTTGCAACTCCAAAGGCCTCACTCAGCACTTGACAATGTAGGTGGCCACCAAAGGCTAATGAACTTTATTAAGTCAGATTACTCAGGATGCTATCAGATAAAACTCAGTTGCCCTCTTAGATTGTCTCACTCTGACTGTACTCAATGGTTTTGATTTCATTTGGCTATCATAAATATAATCTGTCCAAACCTGTTTGGTAAACAGTAGCTGTTAGTTCAATTAGTCACTGCCACCCACATCTCATTTCTCCCGGAACCTGAATAGGAGATGTTGGCAGTGCAAAAACTTCTCTAAAAGGATATCATTCAAACACATTTTTAAAAGAATATTGCAGCAGAAATCCTGGCAGGCAGCCCTAAGAATTTGTTTAATGTTTGCAACATCTGTGTAATATTTTTATACCTTTGTTTTCTTTTTCTGATCAGAGGAGTAATTCTTCAGCATAAGATTCCCTGGCAAAAGGAAAACACAAAAATCTAATCTTTTTGCAGCCATGATATAAGGCTGCAAAAAAAAAACAAAACAAAAAAAACCCAAACCAAAACAAAACAAAAAAACCCTAGTTAAAATAAAAATAAACTTTAAAAACTCATTTCACACTATCTGTTATTTATCATTGTTTAGCCTCTTTTATTATTTTTTCTTCTGTATCACTTTTTTATCTTGAGGTCACCCATTTGATGAAAGAAGATAATGGCACATTTCCAGTAAATCTATAAATATTTATTGAGCAATGTAGGAGTTTAACCCTATACTAACAATAAAACCTGGGAGAGCAGAGGCTACTCCTTGATAAATTAAATTATAGGGATTAAGCCTTTGCTAGTATTCAGAATATTTGGGACAAAGTAAAAAAAGTAATTTTGTACAAAGAGCTTTGTAATGTGAAATGAGCATGTAATAACTTTAAAAATTATTAAAGCTTATTACTCAGTGCATTTAAGTACAGAAGACATTTTCTTGAATGTCTGAAAAGATTTATGTAATGAAACATACAGAAATCTGACTTCCTTAATTAATAGTTCATTATAATTGCAGATTTTATACCAGGAGAAAAGTACAAGAGATGACTGTCTGTACAGAATGTCTGTAAAGATCTCTACAGTATTTTAAGGAAATGAAAAAATTTGTTTAATATGTGTGTAAATAGGATTTAAATTATCATATATAGTGGAATTAGAAAGAAGATATTACATGAAAAAGTCAGTCATTTTATGATTAATTTTCTAAGGTCTAGACACATTAAAATGTGAGCAAATCAGATTTTTATAACTGATATTTTAATGTAAGTTGTTTATTATTTTGCTGTTTGTCTCAAGTTTTTATTTAAATTCTAGTTAGTTGACATAGAGTGTAATAGTGGTTTCCGGAGTAGAATTTAGTGATTCATCACTTCTGTGTAACACCCAGTGCTCATCACAAGTGCCCTCCTTAATAGCCATCACTCATTTAGCCCATCCCCCGCCCACCTCCCCTCCTGCAACCCTCAGTTTGTTCTCTATAATTAAGAGTCCCTTATGGTTTGCTGCCTTCTTCCCCCCCACACCTCCCCTATGTTCATCTGTTTTGTTTCTTAAATTCCACCTATGAAGGGCACGTGAGTGTCTCAGTCAGTTAAGCCCCAGACTCTTGATTAGGGCTCAGGTCATGATGTCATGGGTCATGTGTTCAAGCCCATATCGGGCTATGTTCTGACAGCAAAGAGCCTGCTTGGGATTCTCTCTCCCTCTTTGCCACTCCCCAGCTTGCTTGTGTGCATGATCTGTCTCTCAAAATAAATAGATAAACTTTTTTAAAAATTCCACATATGAATGTTACATGGTATTTGTCTTTCTCTTACTTGCTTCACTTAGCATAATACACTCCAGTTCCAGCCGTGCCATTGCAAACGGCAAGATTTCATTCTTTTTGATGGCTGAGTAATGTTCCATTGTCTGTATATGCCACATCTTCTTTATTTATAGTACTTAATGATTTATCTCACTCAAGAGAAAATGCTAATTTTTTAAATTTTGTAATGTATTGCTATTACTATTAAGATTCAAAAAATAGGAAATATTAGGAAATATTTAAACAACAAAATTAGTTTTAAAAATAAAATCAGCAGTCTTCATACCGTATTAAGTATAAAACAACTAGTATTTCTAAATACTGCTAAATGAAAAATGTAGCATGACAGGGACTGCAAATTTAAATCCATTGAGATTATAAGAATTTCTTATGCATTTAAAAATACAAAATATTTTAAAGGTCTAGCATAATTCTACAACAAAGTTTGGCAAACGTTACCAACAACCTCAAAATGAATTATAAGCAAAACAATAATAACATTGGGAAGGTTATTTTTTTTTTTACTTTTTTAAAAATGTTTTATTTATTTCTAGGAGAGAGAGAGAGACAGCGTGAGCAGGGGAGGGTCAGAGAGAGAGGGAGTCACAGACTCTGAAACAGGCTCCAGGCTCTGAGCTGGCAGTCAGCACAGAGCCCGACGCGGGGCTCGAACCCACGAACCGCGAGATCATGACCTAAGCGAAAGTCGGATGCTCAACCGACTAAGCCACCCAGGCGCCCCGGGAAGGTTATTTTTTAAGTTTGTATGATATGAAGATACTGCGAATTAGTGTTTATTTGTATGTCTCTTGGTGTTTGCGTTTTTCAGGTATAAAATTTGTCTTTTAAATCCAGTCTGTCTGGATTATTAGATGCCTGAAACCGCATTTAATTACCAATTATTACTAAACACAAGAAACAGATAATCCTAAATCCCATCATATCAATTTATTATACATTTATATTTATATTATAAATTTACATATCATATATTCATCTATGTTCAGTAAAAAATTACTAACATCATTTTTCCATCTTTCAGTTTTAATCTATTTCAGAGCCAACCAATTTTGTTTCTGTAATATCTCTGATATTTCTCTTCAATCTACCAGATGTAGATTTGCCATCAGAAAATTCAGGCTTTCAGGGGCGCTTGGGTGGTTCAGTTGGTTAAGCATCAGACTTCAACTCAGGTCATGATCTCATAGTTCATTGGTTCGAGCCCCACATCAGGCTCTGTGCTGACAGCTCAGAGCCTGGAGCCTGCTTCGGATGCTGTGTCTCCCTCTCTGCCCTCCCCAGCTCATGCCCTCTCTCTCTGTCTCAAAAATAAATAAACATTACAAAAATTTTAAAAAAGAAAAAGAAAAGTCAGGCTTTCAGAAACATCACCTATCTTTATTTTCTCTAAATTGAATCCATGAGCCTCAATATCACAACCATTGCTGAATTGTCCGTCCCATTCCCTAGGCCCCTGCAGGGAGATCTATGTGTTGCCCAAAGAATGAAAACGAACATCCAAGTCTCATTAAGGCCTCTACCACCACAGCTCCATAAACTCTTGAGGTAGGGATAAGCTAAGGTTCGCCCAATCCACTTGAGCCACCCTCGTCTGCAAGACTTGCGAGAATATCTTGCATTATACTTTTAAGTGTAAAGGTGTTTTGCAGATATTTCTCCTCAGCCTGAGGCCTCAGTCTACTTGAAGGCCAGCTTTGAGCATTGTGATTTGGTGTCTCCATCATTTCACAAGCATACATCAAACAAATGAATTTATTTAAAAAATATGGATGCCTCTTTCACTTGACATCTCAGACTCAGAATAAAAGGCAATATCCTTTACTTATAAAGAACGTTTTTATGGAGATCCTCTGTGCAAAAAAAGAGTTAACATAACAGGCCTGAGCCTGCCTATCCTCAGAAATTCCTACTTGCAAG